GAGTCCGCTGGGAGGTTGGGCATGTGCTGTCGGAACGGGTGGAGGGGGAATGGAGGAAGAGGAGGACGCGGGGGAACAGGATGGGCAGGCTCAGTCGCTCAGTCGGAAGGTTAATCACCACCCCCGTTCAGAAATTCCCCATCCAAAGAACGGTAACTACGGTCCACCCTCACCGATCCTGGCAAAGGCCCGGGCTGGGAGCAGGGTCCGTGTGCACGCCCGCATGGTTCCGGCAGCAGGGCAGGCGCAAAACGGTCCCGGATCCAGGGGATCGGCCGGGGGGCCGGTCGGTGCCCTCCGAGAGAGGGGAAGCGAGCGAGAGCTGACCGGCTGCCACATGAGTGCCGAAATCGTCCGAACGGGCAAGAGTGATGGGCCCATTTTCTACCACAACTATCATAAGAAGGAGACGGAGGAGGAGAAGGAGGAGGAGGAGGTGGAGGACCTCCTCAACCTCCCTTCTCCTCCGTCCTAGCTCTGGTAGCGGTGGTTGGAAAGTTGCCTATCTAAGAGCATTGCCGAAACGCTCTCCACGCCCGCATGTCAGGGCATCTGCGCTCCCATGGGCTTCTTGGCAAGAAGGCATATACGCTCCGAGCCTGGGCCCAGTGTCTGGGGAAACCAGGAGGTACCGATGCGGTTGCTCCCCGGACCTCTCCCGGGGGTGCGTCCTGACCAGATTTCCGAGGCGCATCCAGCAGTGGCGACGAGGGCCTCCCAGGAGGCCCCCCAAAAAGGGGAACACGAGGGAAGGGTGGCGGTATGGGTGCCATTTCCCTACTCCGACGCGCGCACCGATCCTGGGCTTATGTCGGGCCTGCCCCCCCCCCCCTACGGGGGGATTTTCGACGAAAAATAAGAAATGCCCCAGAAATAATCAAAAAAAAAATCCAAAAACAGTCTGGGGACTTCTTTTGGAGCATTTGTGTTGACCTTCTTGGATTATTCTTTGGTTATTTTTTCTTTTTCGTCGAAAATCTCCCTATAGGGGGACAGGCCCGACATGATCCTGGGCCCAGGAGCGGCCTGGCCAGGAGCGGTGCAGGCCGCAAAAGGAGGGCGCCCCTCGTATTTTCTGGGTTTCTGTCTTCCCCCCCACTGCCCATCTGTTCCCATATTCTCTGGGGAGTCGACGATTCATGGTGTCTGTGCGTGTTTTTTCTCCCCCTGAGGTATGGGTACCATGTCCCCACGCCGACGCGCACGCCGAGCCTGGGCCCGGGATCGGCCGGGCCAGGGGATCGGTGCGGGTCGCAGAGGAAAGGGCGCCGGAGCGAGGCGTGCGGCGGAGCTCCGCGAGCTGCTTCTTGTCCGCGGCGGCGGCCTCCTCCGCGGTCATGGCCTCCCTGGCGGCCATCTTCGCTTTGAGCTGGGCGCCGCGGGGGGGACATCGAGGAGAGCCCGGCTCCCGGAGCCCCTCGAGTCAAGGGAGCGTCCCGACGGCAGGTCATCTTTTTTGTTGTTTTTGCCATTTGTTCGGGCTCGGGGGGCCATCACCTACCTCACCGGGCCTCGGGAACGTCACGAAACGACCCAGGATGAAAAACGGGCCCCGGGAGATGGGTCGAGGCCTCTGGGGGTCGACGTTGAACAAAAACATGTCGGGGGTCTGGGATTGACTGTGAACCTCCACCGATCCTGGCCAGGCTCCTGTTTGCCCAGGATCGGTGCATGTGCCCTCCTGGCCTGCGCAGGAGAGAGCATGCACCGGCCCAGAATCCACCAGGCCAGGTAAGGTGTAGGTACATAGAGTCGGGGTGGATTGGAGAGGACACGCGAGAGGCCACAAGGCCCTTCCGAGGGCCACATTGTCGTAGGAATGTAGGAAGGCATGTTGAGCAGGGACCGACCGTCCCGGCCCCCCTATAGTCCTACCACGTAATGTGCAAGGTTCTTAGAACATAAGCCCGATGTGTTAAAAGACAATATCAACCAGAAATGTTCTAAGAACAGTTCGTGTAAACCACAAAAGGTTCTTAGAACATTGTTTGGTAGGGCTACAGGCGAGCCAGGACGCTTCGCCACTGCTCGAGCATGGGTCGCCAAGCTCAGGACACCACACACCCATACCCATAGGGACGTCGTTGGGAGGAGGACTGGCTATGGGTATGGGTGCGGGTTGTCGGACCCTGGGGAACGCTCCCGTTCGAGCGGGGACCCCCATCCGACAACACGCACCCATAGCCCTCTCCGATCCCCCTATGGGTATGGGTGTGGGTTGTTGGTTCGTCAGGACACAAAAGGGAACCCTCGATGTGGCAGGGTCCACCTACCACTCTCAGTCTCCCCTGTGCGAACCCTCCTGGCCCGCGGAGGGCGTGCGCACCGGCCCAGGCTCCACCTGGCCGGGTACCCAGCGGTCGGAAGAAGTAGGCGGAAACAGGAAGAAGGAAGGCGGATAGAGCAGACAAAACGCAGCAAAAGCATACAACTTCTTGACGTAGGAGAAGACGCTCGAAGTAGATTGGGTTCTGGGAATCCAAAGAGAACTTCTTTCAACGACCGATGGGTAAGGTGCAGGTGTGCAGCTCGTGCCCTCCGGCTGCACCTCTGGAGGCCGCCCGGGCGGGGTCCGAAGAGAGGGTGCCTCGAGGAGCGCGCCGCCTCGCCGAGGCATCGGCGAGGCGTCGGCGACGCCAGGATGAGAACAAAAGAAAACCCAGGAGAGCCCAGAATCGGATCGATAAGTCGGCTCGGCGATCGAAATCCGCCGATCCGGCGTGTGAGTTTCAAGGAGTCTCAGCTACAGCCTCGAGGCTGAGCCTCAGCCTCTGGGGGGGTTGCCGGGGTGGCTCTGCCGGGGAAGGGGGGATGGGGGGGTGGGGAGGGGGCGAGTTTCCGGCGGATGCGGGGCGCTGCTTTTACAGAAGGCTCTAATCTCGAGGATGCGATGGAAGGGTGGCCGCGGCCGCAAACGTCTCTGAGGACGGTCTGCGAAAGTCCCGAGACCCCGAAGGATCGCCCGAACACGCCCAAGATGGCCCCAAGACGGCCCAAGAGCCTTCCACGACGTCTGAAGAGGCCTCCAAGAGGCCTCTCACGATGGCCCCCGGAGGCAAAAATCGTTGATTCCCATTGGTTTTTTCAATGTTTTTGGGGTTGTCGCTTTTTTCGGCTTTCCGACGCTCCAAGACGGCCCAAGAGGCCCCCAAGACCGCTCGAAGACGGCCCAGGAGGCCCCCAGACAGTCCCAAGACGGCCCAAGAGGGCCCCAAGGCGGCCAAAGAGCCGCCCAAGACGGCCCAACAGGCCCCCAAGACGGCCCCGAGAGGACCCAAAAGAGGGACGAAAAGCGGAAAAAATCTAGCCTTCCAGCCCACGAGGCCCCCAGGAGGCCCCAAGAGCCTCCAAGAGGGCCCCCGAAAGCCCCCAAGAAGCCCCCACGACGCCCTGACAGGCTCCTAAGATGGCTCAAAAACGCCCCAAGAGGGCGTCCTTGCGCCGATAGGCTCGCCTCCACCGCTCGCACCACATCGTCCAGGCCACATGTTTCGTAACACGACTTCGTGCACGACGTATCGTGAGTTTCCAAAGTGATCGGCATCCTGTATGGAATTTTCATGTCATTATTATTTCCCGTCCCCACGGTCACTGCAAGCACCCCGCCGTTGATAGAACCACTGTTGCGAGATGGCTCTATTGACCCAACTGCATTCCTACGCCCTTTCGAAGGTAACCCGAGAAGTTTGTGCGTTTGAGTGTGCGCCCATAATTTCTGCGTCTGGAGAATAACACCGAGCGACCCGGATCGGCGGCACTGGCCGAAGGCCACTACAATATGAATCGGATCGGCGGGAAGCGGCAGCCGAGTCGGGGAAAGTCGAACCGGTGGCCGTCGGCAGGCTAGTAGGCCTCCATTGAGAAATCGAATCCAACATCGGAATCCGATGTCGAATCGAATCGGAATCGGAATCCATCGAAATCGAATCGAGTCGGAGGAATCGAAACGAGCCCTGGAAACCTGGTTCCTGATCGAGCCCCATCACCGATGCATCAGCGATATGGCGCGATCCAGCGAACCCATCTGCCTCGACCCCGTCTGGGCAGCACGAAACCTGCAGAAAAGCCCAGAGCCCTCGAGAGATCTCGGGAGGACCTCTGTGAAGGGGCCATGGGACACACAGATAAATACACACAAATAAAAGGATTCCCAATATTTTCACATATTTTCTAGGTTTGTGTGTTTCCGCCCCACTTCCCATGTTTTCCCATATTTTCTGAGGAATCGACGATTCATTGTGTCTGTGTTGTTCCCCTCCTGATTTCTCGGATCAGCGCTGGACACCCGCTCCCTGGCGCGCGGCGCGCGCCAGAGGCGGCGCCGGAGGCGCCGCCAAGGGGGCCCAGCGCCGATCCGAGAATTCCGCACGGATCTCCGAAAGGTTGTGCTTATGCCTGCGTGTCTTCCTCCAGAATGCTCCTACGCTCGCTATTGTCGTGGATACTCCTCCAAAATACTCCTCCTGAATACTCCTCAGCTGCTTACTCCTCCAAAATACTCCTCCTGCGCACAATCCGTCTCTGCTATTGGCGTGGGATCCTTCCGTACAGCGCTTTAGTTGCATAGCCGGCTGGGCTGACAGCCAGTGCAAATTTGAGCTGTGATTAGAGAACACCTTGCCCAGCCCCCCATGGGTTCGGCACATAGTCATACGTACTGGTAGGTATGAAATTTGTGAGTTCTGGGGTTCGTACTCGTCTACACACTTTGGACACCTCCACAGACTGTGCAACAAGCACCCAGATCCACCACCGCAAAATAAAGGCTTGATAATTGGATGCAGTGACTGGAGCCAAGAAGCGAACAGTCCACAGGGCCCGTGCTGCCAGCACTGACGCGGTTATAATCGGTTCTATGATGAGCTTGGGGACCCCGCCGCTGTCTCTCCTTGTCTGGCTTGGTTCCCGCATCTAGTTCACAGACCTCGCTTTCTGTTGGGGAGTCGCGGCACGCACAATTCAGCAGCGGCATTCTGTAGCGTGCAGCGCCTTTTTCGCTCCTCCACAGGCCAGCTCCACTACACTGCGGAGCGTTCGGCCGACTTCCTGGACCCTTCTGCTCCCATGTCACGAGGCCTGTCCGTGGTGAGCGATACGCGCACAGCGCGGTCGCCCCCTCCTCGTGATGATGTCTCTTGTTCTTGGACCTGCCTCGTCGGAGGAAGGCTACCGTCCTAGTCTGGCCATCGCTCGGACGTCCATTCCCTGTGTTGTTTCCGGTTTTGTGCGTGTTTTTTTCGCCAAATGATCAAGGATGCTCCTCGATGGTCCTCGCCGAGGGAACAAAGCACACGTCCGAGCGATGCCAAGTAGTCCTGGTTCACGCAAGCGCCTACGTCACACCGTGTCATGTGGTCTCACGACCCCTCGTCCGATTGGCACGCAGTCGTGAAAATATCAGCCCTCCTCCTCCTCCTCCTCCTCCTCCTCCTCCTCCTCCTCCTCCTCCTCCTCCTCCCCCTCCCCCTCCCCCTCCTCCCCCAACCTGTTTCCACCGTCCTCGTCTAGTTGCTGCTGCGGCTCCTCCTTCTCCTCATCCTCAGTATCCTCTGAAGGGTGCTCAGGGACTCGCACATCAATAGACATAACTACCAGGATTCCCCATATTTGTCAATCTGTTCTGCACGTTCGTACCACCCCCCCCGCTTCCCAGATTGTCACGTCCAGTCCCTCACCAGTCTATTGTTAGCCAGCAGGGCTACGATGTGTGTCGAGAGATGATCCGAGCTCTTTCAGATTCAAGATTCAAGGTTGGCCTTTTCAGGTATTGATTGTGTTTTGAACCCTCTGGCGGAATGGCACGCTGTTAGGGGTTTTAATTGCTCATGTTCCGTTCCCACCCATCCCCAGCGGCCTGCGGCCAGGCCCTACACTCGGGCGAGCATAATTTAGAGAATGCGGTTGGTCTCGTTTGATAGGCACGCCGCTGGGGACACGTGGGCTTCGGCGCCGTGCGATCGAGCACGGATCAGCTCTCGGCACAAATAGTACCCATCGGTCGGAAGTATTAGGTAGAAACATGAAATAGGAAGCTTTGAAAAACAAACATTGGGTGTCCGCCCGCCACCTTGGGAGGACGGAAAAGGTGAAGCCACTCGCTCACTGAAGTAAGAAGGCGCTTAAAGTAGATGAGAATATGGGACTCCAAAAAAAAATCAGCGACCGATGGGTAACCCTGCTAGTCAAACATGGACAGCTGAGGGACTGGAGTCGTCGATCTCATCACAATTTCTTATCCTTCCTGGGAATGTTGGCCGTCTGCTGTGCCCTATGCGTTCTACAGCACCCAAGGCTCCCGCCCGAGCCCACCGGCTGAATCTGCGCAGAGTGGCGCTCTCGATTGCTGGGCACGCCGCTGGGGCACTGTGGGCTTCGGCGCCGTGCGTGACGGCAGCCCGAAAAGTGGAGACTTTTCGAACATGAGCGGCGACATCGACCGGTGTGGCTTCTTCTGACCCTGCTGGGGGTCATCGTGTGGCCGCGCTGGGCCCTCTTTTTTTGTTTTTTGTGTCATGCCGCTGCATCTTGATTGTAGATCTCTCGCGCACTGCTGCCGTCAGCGTCTTACGCGGGCTCACGACTTCACCTGTTAAAGCAGTCTCAGCGCTGACTCATTCTGAACCTTGAGGCTGCTACGCTGAAACAGCCGAGCAGGGGGGGGGCAGGGTGGAAAGGAAGATGCCGCGCTGGGCCCTCTTGGAATCCTCTTGGGCCGTCTTGGAATCACCGTTCGGCCGCCTTGGGGACACTTTGGGCCACCGTCGAGTCATCCTGGGCACTCCCGGTGCTCTCGGTGGCCGGCACGGGTCGCGCTGCCAGGCACGGTGGATTCGCACCCGGCGCTCTCTTGACGAGGGCGCGCGGCCAAGGGAGGCCCTATATAGAGCACCTGGGAGCAGCCCCCGGGGGATGCGGAAAGTGCACGGTCCTCGGGCCATCGCTCGGACGCCCATTCCCTGTGGTTTTTTCGGTTTCGTGCGTGGTTTGTTGGGCCAAATGATCAAGGATGCTCCTCGATGGTCCTCGCCGAAGGCAAAAATGCACACGCCCGAGCGATGCCAGATCCTCGAGCGTGTGCGCGTGGGGCGAGGGGTCCGGGAGTCAGCAGCCATGCACGAAGAGCACGACGCTCGGGCGGGCGCGCGAGGGGCGAGGGGTCAGGGTCTGGCTCCCATGCGGGAGATGCCCCGTCCTCGAGCGACCACGCGAGGAGGGGGGGGGGGGGGCACTAGCGGCCATGCGGGGAGTGCACCATCCTCGAGCGGGCGCGCATGGAACGGGGGCTCGGGCTCTAGAACTGAACCACCCTGGAGAGGGCACGCGCGGAGCGGGGGACGAGGCACTAGCTGCCATGCCGGAAGCGCACAGTCCTCGAGCGGGCACGAGGGGGCGGCCTCGGAAAGGAAGGGCGGTGCACGCAAGATTCTGCTAGTAGCGGCGTTCCCTTATTCGAGCTCAAAACCCTAGCAAGCAGACCTTGGCATTCTTCCACGCCTCAACGTGCCAGGGAGCACGGTGGCGGGTCACCGCGCGCGTTCGTCTTAAAAGCTTGCAAGCACAAGATGGAGGGCAATCAGTTTCAAAATAATGTTCTCGCCGTCGTGCCAGCGCCGCAGACAGTCGCTTTAACAAGTCGCATTAGCTGGACGGATTGGGGGCAAATCCTTTTTTAATAGAGGCCTCCTAGATGGGGTTCGAGTAGATGGGGTCGAGGGATCGCGCCGCACCGCCAATGCATCGCCGATGCATCGGCGATGAATCGGCGATGCATCGGCGATGCATCGGCGTCGGCGGTGCATCGGCGACATCGGCGCGGGGAAGCACGGGCTCCACATCGAGCCGCATCGTGGGTGCATCGGCGATGCGGCGCGATCCTCCGACCCCATCTTACCAGCCTGGAACATATCCCTATCCCTGTGCTGGGCACCTCTTCATCACGATGCCAATCTCAGGGATTTCCTTATTTTTTGAGGGCGAATCTCTGAGATTGTCATCGCCTTTTGGCGTGTCAATCTTAGGGATAGGGATACGTTCGAGACTGTTAACCATCTGCTCCGACCCGATCTGGGAGGCCTAGACTTTAAAGAGCGGGGTCTCTCGCCACAGCGCCGCGGCCAGTCGTCTCGACATCCTGTCGCGTCCTGGGGGGTGGAGCACTCGTCTTTGTGAAGCTGGGGCCCTCGCCCGAGCGCCGGGGGCACTCCTTGTGTTCACTGCAGCGTTCAGAAGGATGAGGCGCTGCTCTTCTCAGAAAGGGGATACCTCCTTCTCTTCCTCCTCCTCCTCCTCCTCCTCCTCCTCTGGAGAAACCGTGAACTCGAAGGACCCGAAACTTCCACGCACGTAGCGCTGCACGAATCCAGGGCGGGTCTTGTTCAGACCAGAACTATCGCTCGAGACCTCCTCGAAGCTCGTGATCACACGAGCAAGCGTATAAAAGGATTATACGGCTGAAGAGCGGCGGTTTTTCTAACGGAGATCTCGCTAGACACCTAGTTGAACTGTCTATTCATGATGTGTAGCGCCCCTGCTGATGCGCCTGAAACCAAGGCAAGTTCTTATCAAATCGAGGCCCTCGCCAATTGCAGTGGAAAGGAAATATTGTAAGGACGTATGTAGAGGCAGCATCGCTGATGCATCTTCGGCCCACTCCAAACTTTGGTCATCCTCCTCCTCCGCCACCTCCTTTTCCGCCGATTCCTTTCCCACCTCCGCCTCCCCCCTCATCCGCCTCGACGGGGGGCAGACCAGTGTGCGAGCCAGGACGCAAATGTAACACAAGCCTGCCACAGCCTAGTCTAGCCCGCGGGGAGGGCAGGCTGGGGAATGATAATGGAAGGCTCCTCCTCCTTTTCACCCTCCTCCTACCCTTCCACATCCTCCTTCCCCTCACCTTAATTCCTTCCTCCTCCTCCTCCTCCTCCTCCTCCTCCTCCTCCTCGTCCTCTTTCTCCTCCTCCTAACTCTTCCCCTTTCACCTCCCATCATCATCCTCCCCCTCTCCATCCTTCCTCCTCCCCCTCCTCCTCATCCTCCTCATCATCATCCTCCTCTTGTCACTCCTCCTTCCGCCTCCCATCATCCTCCCCCTTTTTGTCATTCCTCCTCCTCCTCCTCCTCCTCCTCCGCTCTGGTCCTTCCTCCTCCCCCGTCCTGCGAGGGCAGGAAGGCTCCTCGTCCATCGCTTTGTTGAGGTTCTCCTGCAACGCCGCCAGCTTGTCGCGGGCCTGGGGCAGTGAGCGGGGAAGGGGCGGAGCGCAGGGGGTGGGTCCAGCTGCTGGACGAGGAGGCAGAGGGCCAGGAGGAGGGAGGGAGGGGCAGGGGCAGGAAGAGAGGGAGAGGAGCACGAGGAGCAGGGAGGGAGGGGGAGGGAGGGGGCCAGGGAGGAGCACGAGGCAGAGCGGGCAGGGGTGCAGGAGAGAGGGAGAAGAGCACGAGGAGCCGGGAGGGAGGAAGAGCAGCGCGCGGCAGCGGCGAGGGCCCCCCCTGCGAGCAGGCCAGAGGCCGGGCGCGAGCACGCTCCACCGCCGGCCGCCGCCGCCGCGCCGGCAGCGGCCGGTGCGGATGCCAATGGCCCTCGCGATGCTCGGCAGCTGCGGCTGCCTGCAGAACAAGAGCGTCGGGTGCTGCTCGAAGTGTGCGGGCCCAAAGGTGCCCCCAGCTTCTCGCTCCACTCTGGGGCCCCTCTGGTTGCCAGCCTGGAGCATGTCCCTATCCCTATGCTGGGCATCTCCTCATCACGATGCCAATCTTAAGGATTCCCTTAGTCTGTCAGGGCGAATCCCGAAGATTGTCATCGCCTTTTGGAGTGCCAATCTTAGGGATAGGGATAAATTCGAGGCTGGTGATCTGGGGCCCTCTGGGCAACGTGGGGGGTGCTCTGGAGGCCGTCTGGGCCACCCCGAGAAGCCTGGGGGTATTTTGGGCCAGGGGTACTTCTAGCAACACCCGACAACCGTGACCCCCCAGCGCATCGAGCACAATCCCACGGGCCCTCTAGGCAGAGGTGTTTTAGGGCGCTTCCGTTTCCATCCACCCCCCTTCTTCCCATTTCGGAGAGGCTTTTACCACTGCTCCTTATAAATCCGCCGACCCTGTCGGCGTGTGCGAGGGACTCTCTGCGTCGTCAATTGTCTTTGCATCCTGCCTTTTCACACCAGTCGGCTCTCCCATCGAATTCTGGACCATTTCCATACAACATTAAGTTATAGTGCTGCAATCGAGTCAAAGGGAAACCCTTTCCCATTGATCCCTCCCCCGTCTGGGAAAGGGGGGGGTCCTGGGGGGAGGTCCGGGGACAAGTACGCATCCGCCTCTGCGCATTCCGCGGCTCCCCTGAGGGTCCCAGGGCCGCAAACATACCGAGAAAAGCCAAGAGTGCCTCAAGAGACCCACGAGACGGTCCAAGAGAGTCCCGAATCGCAAACGAATCGGTTCAAAACGGCTTCGCTCTCTCCAGACTGCCCAAACAGTCTCCGAGACACCCCAAGAAGCCTCCAAGAGCACTCCCGAGAGGGCCCCGAGAGATACATTTCGCTGATGTTCCAGAGGTTGTTTCAAGATTTCGGCGTTCTCGCTTTTTCCGCTTACCGCCGCTCCACAACAGCCGAAAACACCCTCAAGATCGCTCCAATGAAGGGGCCCCAGGACACACAAATCAATACACACAAATAAAAATATCTCCCATGTTTTTCAATATTTTCCTTGGCTTCTGTCTTCTCAACCACTTCCCATATTTTCTGGGGGATCTTCCCATATTTCCCCTCCTGATCCAAGACGGCCAACGAGGCTCCCAAGAGCGCTCCGAAAGGGCCCGAGGAAAGCCCCCCAAGACAGCTCCAAGAGCACGCCCCGACGGGGGACCCGCACGGACATTTCGGGCCCGCGGCCCCGGGAAGCTCCCAGGACGCCTCAAGGAGCTCCCCAAGAGGCCCCAAAAGACCCCCCAAGAAACCCCGCAGGAAGCCCGAAGAGGCCCCAAGAGGCTCCCAGGAGCCCCAAGACTGTCCCAGAGACGCCAAAATTCCTCCCCAGAGGCCCCCGACAGCCTTCCCAAGATACCCCGTGAAGCATCCCTGAGGACTCTGGCCCACATCAGCGTCCTCGCCGTCGCCCCCCTTCGGAACAACACCCCCTGGAAGCCTTTCAAATTTCTGCAGGCCCTGGGAAGATCGAGCGGATCCAAAACCTCCCACCACCGTCCCGCTAGGGCAGACCCCACCGCCGATTCCTTCCCTCCGTTTCCCCCCCACACACAGCAGCGCGCCACGCGGACGGAGAGCGCACCGCGCGCCTGCTCCTCCGGCTCCCATTCCACTGGTCCTGCTGCTGCTCCTTCCACAGCCCGTTCACCACCCTGCCCCTGCCCCCACGTCTCCTCCTCCTCCTCCTCCTCCTCCTCCTCCTCCTCCTCCTCCTGCCGCTCCAAAGCGACCTCCACCTCCTCCTCCTCCTCCTCCTCCTCCTCCTCCTCCTCCTCCTCCTCCTCGTGCTCCTTCTGCTCCACATGCTCCTCCTCCTCGTCCTCCTCCTCCTCCAACTCCTCCATCTCATCCTGCTCCTCCTCATCTTCGTCGTCCTCGTCGTCGCCGTCTCCAGGGTCGGTCGCACTGGCCGCAAGGCCTTCGCAATGTAAACCCCCTTCCCCACCCGACCGGCGACAAACCCGGGTCAATGACGACCCCCGTCCACCACCCCTTGCAGATAACAATGCAAAGTGCACTTTGCACCATAATCTGGATCATGCGCGGACGCCCGCGTCCCCTTGCCCCAATACCCCCTACCCCTGGGTCTGGAAGGGGGGGGCAGGAGCGATCAGAGCGTCCAAGAAGGCGTCGGCATGAAGGCAAGAATCATTGATTGCTTGAGATTTGGGGAGCAGAGTGGGTGGGGGGGGTTATTTGAGAAACCCCCTTCGTTGGTCGATCGCCTCAAAGATGGCCCCAAGACGGCCCGAAATGCATCCAAGAGAGCGCATGGAGTGCCCCAAGAGGCCCCCAAGAGGACCCAAAAAGGCCCCCAAGCGACCCCCAAGAGGGTCTGAAGACCACCAACAGGCTCCCAGCGTCCCAAGATAACTCCAAGAGGCCCCAAGGCGTCCCGAGAGGCCTCCGAGAGACCCCGAGAGACATAACAAAAGTCTCCGAGAGGCATCCAAGAAGCCTCTGGCCCACGGAGGCTCCCCGAGCTCTCCATATGATGCTGCGCTCCCCTGAGCTCCCCTGGGCATCGTTCCTGGATGGGCTGGCAGGGATACGCGAAGCGTTAAGAATTTGTCGTATCGCCTGCTCGCTTTCAAAGGGCTTAGTGGGCCTCAGTATGACTCCATGATCGCCCAAGATGGCTACAATAAGGGCCCATTAATTGACAAGACAAGTGTTCATATAAGGCAGCGTCCCATGATGACTTCACGAGACAAGTTGTCAGACTCCGACAGGGGCACATGAACTGAAGCCGCAGCTTGTTCGCTCGACGGTACCCAAGATGGCCCCAAGAAGGCCCCAGAGGTTCCGAAGAGGGGTCCAGTAGAGCCGCGACGAGGACCTTCAAGGCTCCCACACAAGGGCCGCAAGAGGGCCTAAGCTCTTGGGCGTTTTTCGAAGCAAGACGTTCAGGAGGGGAGAGAAGGAAGACAAGAGGGCCCGAACTGGCTGCGAGAGGCCCAAAAAGGCTCCCCGGGGGGGCTCAAAGTTCATCATTGATTGCCGGCCTCTTTGAGCGCAGTTCTGCATTCGCGGCCATAACGAACGTAAGTGGGGGGAGAAGGGGGGGGAGGCGGGAGCGTGCATAACGCAGCCCCCCCCCCCCAGACTGTGGTACCCGACTCGCTGCGGCAATGCAGGGGACGCACTGAGGGGAGGAGCGTTACGTCATGAGGGGGCTGGAGGGGGGAGAGGGTAGTGGGCATAACGCGCGATGTCGCCAAGAGGATGCAAAAAAAACATTATCATTGCTTGCCAAGAACAAGAAGAAGAAAAAAACGCCATAAATACAAACTTTCGACGGTCCGCGCGGATTTCTCCGAGCTGCGCTGGGCCCCCCTCTCTGGCGCGCGGAGCGCGCCAGGAGCGGCGCTGGAGGCGCCGCCAGGGGTAGCTCAGCACGGATCCAAGAACTCCGCGCTGAGCGCCAAAAGTGTATGTTTATGGAGTTTCTTCTTCGATTGTCGGGCGGGGAGTCTTGGGCGATTTGGTGTCACCACCCGGTTTGAAAACTCGTGTGTTTTTTTCGACGATGTCCCGAACCCTGGTGGGTCCAGGAGTCACAACACCCGGCGGTGACCCCATGCTCCAAAACTCGGCGGTGAATTCCTGGTGGATCCCGGGTCACCACCCGATATCTCGCCACTTGGTCTGGGGGCTCCCAGCTTGGACTAAGTCGGGCCTGTCCCCCTACAGGGAGATTTTGGCGAACAAAAAAAAAATACTCAAAAGATGCCAAATAATAATCCACAAAATAATCCCCTGACTATTTTTTAAACTACTTTTGAATATTCCCCCTGCAGAGGGACAGGCCCGATTTACAGCTTGGACTCACTATGTGTTCCAAGACGTCCCTTCTTCGGGGGCGGCCAAGAGGGGGGGGCGCAAATCATGACCGGCGGCATGTGCGCGGCCCAGCGGGGGGCCAGGGACGTATTGAAATAAGGAGAGGCGCCATGAAATATGAGGAAATATCACGCCCCCCGCCATGAGATCCACCCCCCCCTAGTCATCACCCCCCTCTTTGCCGCCCCCGACTTCTCCCGACCGCTCGCCAGGCCATCGCCTCCGCAGCGACGACGACGCCGAGCGCGGGGCGGCGCGGCGCGGAGAAAGGGCGGCGCTCCAGGCCGGAGGGGCGGCCTCCTGGCGCGACTCCGCGGACCACGCCCCCAGCTCCTCGGGGGAGACACTTAAGCCAGGGGGGCAGCGGTGCTGCTCTGGGGGCGCGTGCAGGAGGAAGGCGTCTGAGGAGGAGGAGGAGGAGGAGGAGGAAGAGGAGGAGGAGGGGGAGGAGGAGGACGGGGGAGGAGGAGGGAGGAGGAGAGGAGGAGAGAGGAGGAGGAGGAGGAGGAGGAGGAGGAGAGAGGAGGAGAGAGGAGGAGGAGGGAGGCGTCTGAGAGGGAGGAGGATAAGAGAGAGGAGAAGTAGGAGGAGGAGGAGGAGGAGGAGGAGGAAGAGGAGGAGGGGGCTCGCAAATCCGGTGGGCTTGTCTCCCACCGCCACCACCACAGGTAAGAGGAGGAGGAGGGGGTCCTCCTCCTTCCTCCTCTTCGGCCTCCCACCCCAACATATGGTGGTGGTGGTGGTGGTGGTGGTGGTGGTGGTGGTGGTGGTGGTGGTGGTGGTGCTGGTGGTGGTGGTTGTGGTGGTGGGAAACGGGCCCATCAAAACCGTGGCCTGAGGCATGTGCGTGGCCAGGGGGGGGAGGGGTCGCATCCAAATGAGAAGAGGCGCCACGACGTGTGGGGAGGTATCAGGGCCCTGGCCATGATATCCAACCCCCCCTCAACACCACCCCCCTCTTGGCCGTCCCCGACCGCCGCTCCACGGACCTCTCGCGGGGTGCGCCCTGACCAGAATGTCGGGGCGAGTCCTTCAGCCGTGGGGGCGAGGGCCTCCTGGGAGGCCCCAACAGAAGGCGGAACTGAAGCCAGTGTAGCGGTATCGATCGGAGGCGGCCAGGGTGCTTGAAGTGGTTAAAACTCTCCGGGAGATCGATCAGCAGGGGGACGAGGCCAAATCCACTCGAAGTCGGTCCCCGGACTTCTGCCAGGGTCCATCTGGTGCAGACGTTCACCCTGGATCCCTCATGGGCGGTCCTGGGCCCCGAAAGCAACCCCTGGAGGCCGAAGAAGGCAAACGACCGTCGGGAATCCGGGACCTCGAACCTCGACCCCCCCTGCCTGCTCGCTAGAACCAGTGCTGGGCCACCTCCAACGCCCAAACGCCTCCAAGGCATCGGTACCGTAGTTTAGCGCGGCGTCGGCGCGCAGAGGTTTCTCACACCGCGTCAATCATTCAACCTTGAATCGATGATCACTGCCCCGATCTTTCACGGTTGAATTCTATCGGGTCCGATGGCGTTACCGTGTCCATTGATGCTTCCGCGTTGCAGAATTCAAACTTGAACGCCTTCGCTGGCGTCGCCTGCGCGCCAACCCCGCATGAATCTACCATAACGGAGAAACAAAAACGAGCGACCTAAATTAGAACGGCCAGAATCACTAGGGACAGGGGGTCCGCTCTGCTGACGTTAAAAACGAAAACGCTCCCACGTTTGCGGTCAACCCTGAGAAGCGAGGACCTAAACTAGTCCACGAGTTCTGATCGTGTTAGGATTAGGGCTTGTGTTGTAAGAGGCGTCCCAGACGGGCAGACGGGGTCCGAGTAGATGGGGTCGAAAGATCGCGCCGCATCCCCGATGCATCATCGCTGCATCGGCGATGTATCGATGATGCATCGGCGACGCTGGCAATGCATTGGCGACGCAGGCGTGGATAACATTGGGCTCTACTTCAAGCCGCATCGCTGATGCATCGGCGATGCGGCCCGATCCTCCGACCCCATCCGCTCGGACTCCATCTGAGAGGCCCTAGAAATTTGCTGGGAAATGGTGAAACAAATCGACGAATCATCCCCAGACTGTTTGTTTGAATGTTATCGAATCTTCCTCCTGTAGAGGGACACATGCCCGACTTGAGCCTAGTATTATGCCTAATACCTATCCTTGGGGAAAGAACAATGACATAAACATAAAAACTCTGAGGTTCGCGCGGATTTCTCGGATCGGCGCCGAACCCCTCTCCCTGGCGCGCGGAGCGCGCCAGGGGCGGCGCCAGAGGCGCCGCCAGCCGCCAGAGGCTCCCAGCGTCGATCCGAGGAATCCGCGCGGACCTCAGAACTTGTATGTTGATGTCATTCTTCGTTCCCCTGTTTTCTTCCCCTGCGCTCCGGGTCCCAGTCCTCCGCCGCGGCGTCGCCCTGCAGCGCGCAGCGCCGGCGGCAGCGGACCGCGGCTGCGGACGGCGGCGGACCGCGGCGGCGGCGGCGCCCTGCGGCAGCGGACGGCGGCGTGCGGCGCCGCGCTCGGCGCAACCGACTGTGGGAGAAGAATCTTCCTGCGTCACTTTTCGAGCCGATCGATGTGTGAGGGTCCCAGGGGCGGAAACACGGCGAAATGGCCCAGTGTGAAAAAAATGCGACGCCACTGGGATCGCCGCGGTGGTTGCTAAGTTGATAAGGGGGTTACGAATGGATGCTGAGGTGTGATACCCAGCCTAACATAACGGATAAGAGGGCCACAAGGAGGAAAACAGGGAGGGGACGATAGAGGACAAAACATGGCATAAATAAAGTAACATTCGGCGCTCCGCACGGACTTCATGGATCTGCGCAGGACACCCCTCCCTGGCGCGCAAAGCGCGCCAGGGGCGGCGCCGGAGGCGCCGCCGAGGGGGCCCCAGCGCCGATCCAAGAAATCCACGCGGAGCGCCCAGAGTTCATGTACATGGCAGTTTTCTTCTTCAAGATGAGGAGCGGACAGGCCAAATCACAAGTAATGCCAAGCAGTGCCAGTCGATGCAGAGCAAGACAAAGCAACGCACAGCAACGACAGGCTTCACAGAGCAGGGCAAAAAGCAACGCCAAGCAATGCAGATCAATGCCCAACCATGCCCACCAGTGCTACGCAACGCCAAACAATGCCAAACAACGCCAGGCAAGGCAAAGTAACGCCAAGCAGGGAAAGAAAGTGCGCCCAAGTGGCGGGCAAGATTGCCCTCGAGCACCCTCTCAAAACGCCTTCTGAGATGCGGCCTGTAATATGCCAGAGGTGATGATGATATTGCTAATTATGATGGTAAGGGTAATGATGATGATGGACGACAGGCGCGAACGAGCGGGGCCACGAAGTGCATACATATATAGGGCCACGAAGGGCTGCAACGGGACCACGGAGGGCAGCGAGGGGGCAACGAACGAGTGCAACAGGGCCACGAAGGGCAGCGAGGGGACCACGAAGGGCTGCATCGGGGCACGAATGGCAGCGAGGGGACCACGAAGGGCTGCAACGCGTCCACGAAGGACAGGGACCGCGAAGGGCTGCAACGGGTCCACGAAGGGCAGCGAGGGGGCCACGAAGGGCTGCAACGGAGCAACGATAGCAGCGAGGGGCCACGAAGGGCTGCAACGGGAGCACGAAGGGCAGCGAGGGGGCCACGGAGGGCTGCAACGGGGCCACGAAGGGCAGCGAGATCCCGATTCCTAAGTAAGATGTGGTGGAGTCCTAAACGTGAGCCCGACTCCTGGGTACTTGAGTGTTGGGAGCGCGGCGCTTGAGAAAATTGCGGGGAGCTCCAACGCAAGAGCGCGATTGTTGAGTACATTGCAAGCAAGTCTCCAGCGAGAGCGTGATTCCAGAGCGCCAAGGAAGCGATTCAAGAAGAAAGTGTAAGGAAGTCCCAAGCGAGAGCGCGATTCCTGAGTAAAATGCAAAAATGCAGGGAAATCTCAAGCGGGAGCGGGGGTCCAGGCTAAATTGTGAGGAAGTCTCAGGCAGGAGCCGTTGTTGTTGTAACCCGGGGGCCAACACCACAGTTTGAGTCCCATGACTTCCCTGATAAATGAAACAGGGTGCGAGCCCCAGGGGAAGCACTTCAATTGAGAACACATAGGTAACTGGAGGGGGGATCAACCATAATTACTCAACAATGAGAGTTCGACAACGACAACAACAACATCAACAACAAGAACAGCAAGGACAACAACAGCAGCAACAACAACCATTACAACAGCACCACCAACTGAAACAGAACAAACAACACCTACGATCAGTTTAACCTCATGCGCGATGTTTCCACACGAAGCATGCGACCAGCATGATAACCATCCCCATCATGTGGGACTATAATTCTATAGCGGGGTCCGTTATTCCTATCCCCAGATCTCCCGCCCAATGAGGTCTTGCAAACACCTCCCCCGAGGAATTTCAACTGATCCCGCCTCGAAAACGCATGCCCGCGCCCTGCTGCGCCGAGGCGAGACCGCCAGTGGAGCCCCAGCCAGGGGTACATCACAAGGAAGTATCGAGCGACAGGATTGCCTTGGTGGGGATGGGGGCCGTCGGCCGCTGTTGCTGCTGGGAGCGGCGCCAATGCTGAAGAGAGCAGACCGCTCGTCCAACGCAAAACAAAACGAAGTCTCGAGCGGGAACGCTGGTCTTGTTGGGACGGCGGTTGTCGGCAGCGAGGAGGAACACCGCCTGGAGTAAGAAGGGAGAAAACCTCTAGCGGGAGCCGTGGTTTTGTCGGGGCGGGGGCTGTCGGCGGCGAGGAACAGCATAGTCCTGAGGAAAAAGAAGGAAGCCTCGAGCGGGAGCGCTGGCCTTGCTGAGGGCGGCGCCGATGAGAGAAAGAGTAGCGCGCCAGTCCAAGGTAAAACGGGAGGAAGTCTCGAGCGGGAGCGCTGGTTTTGTTGGAACGGCGGTTCTCGGCGGCGAGCAAGAGCACCGGCTCTGAGTAAGAAAGGAGGTGGATGAGGAGGAGGAGGAGGAGGAGGAGGAGGAGGAGGAGGAGGAGGAGGAGGAGGAGGAGGAGGAGGAGGGAGGAGGAGGAGGAGGAGGAGGAGAGCGCAGGAGGCGGGCGCTCGGGAAAGCGCCTGCCCCGAGCTCTGCAGGGCGCTCTCCCACGCGTCCTGGCGAGAGGACGGCACGGCGCGGGCAGGCAGGGGCGCCAGGGAACCTGCTCCGTCTGCTCCCTGCTCCTCCTGCTCCTGTCTCTGCCCGTCCCTTCCCCTGTCATCCTCCTCCTCCTCCTCCCCCCTCTCCTCTTTCTCCCCCCCCATCCTCCTCCTCCTCCTCCTTCTCCTCCTCCTCCTCCTCCTGCTGTTCCTCCTCCTCCTCCTCCGCCCTCCTCCTTCGAGTTGCCTTCCTCCTCATCCTGGCTATCCTCCTGCTGCAGCGTTTTCTTTTCCTCCTCAGCCTGCTCATGCTCGTCCTTTTCCTCCTCCTGCTCCTGCTCCTCCTCCTCCTCCTCCTCCTCCTCCTCCTCCTTCTCCTCCTCCACCTCCCCCTCCATTCCTTATAATAGATCACCCTTTCCCAACGCACCCCGTGACGTGTCGGTGGGCCTGGTCAGGCGTGTCGCCTGAGACTTCCGCATCAGTTATGAACCTGTAACTAGGAAAAAGTCCACAGCTGTTTTACAAATGGAGAATGGCTCCTGTTCATCATGTGGCTCTCGCGTTAACGCCGCGAACATTCGCTTGAAACCTTTGCGCGAGTTTCACGGGCGGCGGGCGGGTCCTTCTCAAAGCGTGGCTCTCGCCGGATTGCCGCGCGCACGCACAGCCGTCTTAGAACTGTGCCAAAGCTTCACGGATGGAGGGCGGGCTCTTTCCAAACTGTGGCTCTGGCCGTAGCGCCGCGCGCGCTCGTCTCGAGAGCCCCCACACGTATCACGGCCAGAGGGCTGATCGTTTTCAAACTGTGGCTCCCGAACCCGCCCCGCGCGTCTCCTCCGCGAACGTTGGCAGGCGCTGCGCGGCTGGGGGGGGCGGGAGGATCTCGAAAGGGGGCTCGCCTTCTCGCCGCGCACGCTCGCTTGAACTGAACTGCGGGAGCTTCCCGGGTGCAGGGCGGGATCCCCATCCAAAGAGGGGCTCTCGCCCCAACGCCGCTCGCACTCGTCTCAGAAGCTGTGCCCCGCTTCGCTGGTGGAGGACGGCCCCTGTTCGAGGACGGAGCACGCTCGTCTCCAAACGTTGCCACGGAATCGCCAATGTAAGGCAAGTCGTTGTCAAAATGCGGTCTTCGCATGCACTACGCGAGCAGTGTTTTGTTGAAAAACATGCACGCGCTTCACATTGGGAGGGCGGGTAGTTTGCCCAGTGTGGCTATTGCATTGACGCCGCGGACGATCGTCTTTTAACATGAGCAAGGACCTTCACACATATGAAGCGGATGTTAGGAGGCAACTACTAGGAGGCTTCGTCGGAAAAAGTAAAGAGGATTAAGCCACATTTGGGAGCTGCTACGCCGGAATGGGCCTCGGACTAAGCAGGATCAAGCGGGATTAAGCGAGATCAAACGGGATTAAGCCGGATTAAGCGGGGTTGAGCCGGATTGAGCCGGATTCAGCCGGATTTCGGACCAGGGCAAAGTCATCCGAACGGATGGTTTTCGAAAAGTGCTGTCTCGCCTCAGCGCCGCAGAGATTGACAGAGCATCACGGGGGGAGGGCGGGCCGGTTTCGCATGCGGTTCTCTCTCTAGCGCCGCGCAGCGTCCCTGTGAAAAAACGCTAGTCCAAAGGCGGGCCGTTTTCGGAATGTGGCTCTCGCCCTGGCACCGCGCACATCCGATTTATAAAACTGTGGTCCCGCTTAACGGGGACTCACCGCTGACGTCCCAGGAATGGTGCTCCGCACGAATAAGGACTGCTAGGGCGCAATTGTCACGTGGATTCGCGGTGCTAAAAAAAACCCTGAAGCGGCATGGTTCCACGGTCGAAGATCCTCAGACGGGTTTTCCAAGGGGGCACGTCCAGCAATGATCATAAATTCTTGCAGGCCACGTGTACAGGAAGCTTGGACGGATGATGTACGGCAGCATCCATGGTGCGCCTTGGGCTTACGCTGGTCCTTCTACACCTTTTCCCGCCCCGTCCCTTTTCCTTATGAAGAACTCCTCCCTGCCGCATCCCGGGGCCAGTCGAAAGGGCGGGCCAAGCGTTCCGCCTGAAACTTCCTTACGATGTACGAGACTGAGGCTTAGACAGTGGCAGCAGCCTCACAAATGGAGGGCCGGTAGCTTCCAAAACATGGCCCTCGCCTTAGCGCCACGCACAGTCATCTGGAATAACCGCAGGAGCCTCGAGGACTGAGGACAGGTGGCTTTAAACTGTGGTTCTCGCCTTAGCGCCGCCTACAGGGCAGTTTTTAATGTATAGGATGTTTGAACACATGCGATTTTAATACATGATTAATTAATGAATAAAGCGATGCATGAACTCATCGTTATTTTTAATTCTAAATTCCTGCAGCTTTAAACCATGATCCGCACACGGAGCATGTATTAAAAACGGCACTGGACACTCGTTTAGAACAATGTCAAGAGCTTCCCAGATTGGGGGTGGCTCGTTTCCAAAGTGTGGCTCTCGCCCTGGCGCCGCGCACGCTCGTGTGAAAACCCAGCGGAACTTCATGGATTGCGGATGGCTCCTTTTCAAGATGTGGTCTTCGCCCTAGCGTCACGCGCCTTCGTTTCAAACAGTTGCTTCCACTGGTTCTCGTGGTAAGCCTTCCAGGAATGGCACTGCGGAACGATTCAGGAGCGTCAAGGCGCAATACTTGCGTTGATTCACGTTGTTGATATCACTGGAATTGCGTAACGACACGGTTCAGGACCGTCAAGACACAACAGTCAGCTTGACTCGTGGCGTTGAAGTCATGAGAATTGTGTTTCGGCACGATTGGGGTTCCTCACACGATTGTCCCCCCGACGCGGTACTTCCTTCAATAGAGATGCATCCTGGTAGTGGCCTATGAAGAGGGAGCTTGGAAGGAGTGTGGATTCCACTGCTTCTGCTGCTGTTCCCCATCCTCCCTCTCGTACACATCGAAATCATGTCGTCCTCCTCCTCCTCCTCCTCCTCTTCCTCCTCCTCCTCCCGTGTCGATCCTTGCGCAGCCAAGCTCCTCCAGGCGAGACAACTGGGCGGCGGGCGACGGCGAGCGACGCGAAAACGAGGCCAGGGCCAGCAGGCGCGACCGCACCGCTAGGGCCCCGACCGATGGAGGGGTACAGGCCGACCCACGAAGGATTTGGAGGACGGATCCTTCCCCTCCTTTAGCTGCTTGAGGGTCTTCTCCGCTGGCTTGTTGGGAGGCGCGCCAGGGCGCGGACCTCCCAAAAGGCACAGCTTGACAGACCCAAAAGCAGCGCACGAATTACACCAAACAACACGCCCGCCGCTAATCCAGAGCTTATGGCTGGAGTGGGCGAGCCTGGCAAGCCTGGGGAGGCCCGAGCACGGCAGTGCGCACACTGACACCTCAGAAAACCCCGCGGCACCACAGTTGACACAGAGATAGGCCCCCTTCCCCTTTGTGCCCGTCCTGTGGACGGCATGCCCCTTGAAATCACAGACCAAAATTAAATGGTCTTGCTTGGGGCGGGGGGGGGGCCTTACATTTCTGGACATCGGGGAAATTCTGCTTGCTGAGCATCTCCCCAAAGCACGCAATGAACTTACTGAAGTCTGCTACCTCCGAACTTCTCTGTCTCTGGAGGGCGCGGAGGCGAGGATTGCAAGGGTGCTCCAGGGCTCCGCGCTTCGCCAGACCGCCAGCAATGCCGTTGCCGACCCAGGCCCAGTGAGGGGCCTCAGAGGTCTCTAGACACCTGCTCCATGAAATGTGACTCTTAATTTTGTGCAGGCAGATCATTCCTAGACCTATATCTCGAACGCGACCCCATACGAGCTCCCAGACCTCCGAGAAAGCAACCTCCGACATGTCCGACTCGGGCCCGCGGGCCCACACGTCCAAGACGGCCTGGCAATCAGTGTAGATCTGGGTGCACTGCGAGGGCCCAATGAGCTTGAGGGCCATCAGCAGCGCATACAGTTCACCTGCTCCTGATTCCTGGACGGGATGAGGAAGGGGTCCAAACGCACTGCCCTCGCAACGACTGCTCTGATCCATGGCAACCACTGCCCACCCTGCACGCGCAGCATACAGGGAAGTCGTGTCGAAACCTGAGCCGTCGATGCATATCCTGCTGCCTAGGAAACCTGCTTCTGGCACTTTATCCCACCGCCAGGTCTCGGCCGTGGACACCTTGGGCCAGTCGTACCCTGGGTCTGCACAGAGCGCTCTCGTCGACAAGAGATCGTAGGCGCCCAGCTGCAAGCCTCTGTCCACGCACAGCGGCAGGTCTAGGTCCCGCCTAAACATAAAGAACCCGTCACACTGGAACAAACGATGCTGTGGCGTGCCGTTATACATGCCGCAGACCCTGCACAGCGGCGCGATGGCTCGCCTGTCCTGAAATAACACATCCTGAGTGGGATGACCTCCTGCAACTACATTACACAGAAAGGCGGCCGCTGAGTTTCTCCCCGCCTTCCTGAGGCCTCTGAGGGTATCCATGATGGGCCCCAGGAGGGGAGGAACCACCCGCTCAGGATCTTCGGGATCAGGGACCCCAACATGCTCCAGAAGCCTCATGTGCGTACTGTAGTCAATCAACTTAGTGAGGGTGCGCTTCCCGAAGTGGTTGAGGTCCAGTAGGAAGCCACGGCAAGACTCCCAGGTGTCCCAAGCAGTAAACCTCCAGCCCAGACGATCCAGGGTAGCCCACACAGCTCCAGCAGGCCCCCGAACCTTGTCCCAAGTCCTGGAGGCAGCCTTGGGGTAGGCCTGCACGCAGGCCCTCATGATATGCTCGGGGACCCATTTCTGTTTCACAGCCTGTTGCCACATCTTGAGGGGCAGGAGGTTGGCCTGGAACACCGGGTCCAAGCCCCTGGTCGGGCCCAATAAAAACTGCAGAGTCCTGGAACGGCCCCTCGCTTTGCCGAACGATGCCTGACCTATGATAGAGCGCAGCTTCATGACCGTGGAAGTGTTCGTGCCTATGACCGCAGTGCCGTAAAAAGCTGCTGGCAATCCACCTGTCTTCACGACCTTGCA